AAGTGAAATTTATGTTCCCTTGTGCAGCTGCGACCAAATTTGGAAGCAGCAGAGCTGGAGTGTAAAAGGAATGGGGCTGGGTTCAGCAGTCCTGATAGTGTAGCATTTGGGATTTCACAATGAATCCTGTTTAATTTGTCATGGAGTGTGTGTGTGTAATCCCAACAGCACCCATTACCACAATGCCATTGTTGCAACAGCAGCAGAAAGCAAATAACACCAGACTAAAAATACACAAAATAGGAAATATTTCTCTTGAAGTGTGTATTTTAAGATGTCTTGATGTCTTGTTATTTTGATTGATTGATTGTTTGTTTGCTTGCTTATTATTTTCATTCATTCATTCGTTCGTTCGTTCATTCAATTAATTGTAAGATGCACAATAAGGAATTTATATATTTTCACATATATACTACCATTCAAAACTTTTGGAGTCAGTAAGATTTTATTGTTTTGTTTTGGGAAGAAAAATAGGGTGAAAATCAATCTTGAGTTCCACAAAATATATTGAGCTGCACAACATTTTCAATATTGATAATAATAATAATAATAATAATAATAATTAATAATAAATGTTTCTTGAGCATTAAATCAGCATATTAGAAAATGATTTCTGAAGGATCATGTGATGTGATGTGAAGTAATGATGCTGAAAATTGTGTTTTTCCTTTAAAGGAATAAATTACTTTTTAAAATGTTAAAAAGCTAAAGTTATAACTAAATAAACGTTTCATATAGGTATATGTTTCGATATTTGTTTTTAATAGAAGCTTCTCGATATATATATATATATTATAGCCATTTTCATTTCAATTTTGGCCTGAAATGCAGGTTTCTCAGTTATTTAGAACAGCAGCACTCTTGCTTAAGCTAAACTGTAAATGTATTATTCTAAACCCCCTTTTTTCATCTGATTGAGGTGCATCCAGAAAAAGTTGATTGTTTTTTGAGAAAATAATGTGGAATAATTGGTGCAGATTCACTGTGGCTGCAACTGATTTTGTTTACAGCATTCTAGCATAAAGACTCATTAGCTTGTCTTCTGATTGGAGAAGTTCTAGGCCGAGTGTGAGCTCTGACCATTCAGCTAATTACTGACTGCTCGCCTGAGTGCTCTGTTTACTGACAGAAACGGACAGTTCACTCCCGCCGACGACCCGGCTGTGCAATCAGCCCACGCTCTCCTTTAATTACGAATTAATTTCAGCATCACTGTTTGTATTACCGGCCACAGTTTGCACAATTCTTGGCCTCAAACAGTCAAGTAACCCAGGGAATGAGTTTCACCCCTTCATGTGATGGTGTGATTGTAGAGTCTAATGTCTTTTATGCCATTTTTTTGTCTGAATTTCCAATGACTGGGCTGCCAAGACAATACTGCGGCCCTTGTAATACATTTTTATCAGATTATAACTTCAAAATCGATGTCTGGGGTCTTATTTGTGCTCTCTAATGTGTTTAAAGTGTTTCATCTGTGTTGTGTTAGCTACTCGCAGTTTTAGAAAATGCCTTAAATGATCAGTAGGCCAGCTGTGATTTGACTCAAAATGCAATATACAATATTAAGATTAAATGAAGGGAATGTTTCTTTTATACAAACTGCACTTTTCTTCACAAATCTGAGCCCAGAGGAAAATTTGGTTGCTCAAACATTGTTATTTTATGAATTGGGTTCACATTTAAGTAACTTTATCTCAGATGTTTCTCCTAAATGTCTTTAGGAATTAAAAAGTGAAAGAGAGAGTCTGAGAAGTACTACCATTCAAAACAGTAAAAAAAAAAAAATATATATATATATATATATTTATATATATTTATATATATATTTATTTATTTATTTAAATTATTAGTAATTCATGGATATTGGTGATATTTATGATATTAGTATTTATTTATTTATGAAACTATTAGTAATTCATAAATAATAGTGATATTTATGATATTAGTATTTATTTGTTTGTTTATTTAAGGGATGCACAATATGCCATTTTATATATTTTTACATGTACACTACCATTCAAAATGTGTGGGTCAGTAAGACATTTTATTCGTTCGTTCGTTCGTTCATTCATTCATTCATTCATTCATTTATGAAATTATTAGTAATTCATACATATTAGTTATGATATTAGTATTTATTTGTTTGTTTGTTTGTTTAAGGGATGCACAATATGCCATTGTATATATATTTATATGTACACTACCATTCAAAACTTTGGGGTCAGAAAAAAAAAATGCACATTTAATATGTATTTATTTATGTATTTATTTATTTATTAGTAATTCTTAAATATTAGTGATGTTTATAGCGATGTTTATGATATTAGTAGTTATACAGCTAGGATGAATTAAATTGATCAAAAGTGACAGTAAAGACTTTTGTATTGTTAAAAAGGTTCAATTTCTAATAAATGTTGTTATTTTCAACGTTTTAATCATTAAAGAAATTCAGGGGGCGGTGGGATATCTATCACAATTTCCACAAAAATACTAAGCAGCGCAATAGTTTTCAGTATTGATAATATGTTTCTTGAGCATCAAGTAATGATGCTGAAAAATTCATATTGAATTCAGTATATTCAATGGAATTAAACTGGACTTGACTGGATCATGAAAAGTAGATGTTTCATACCAGAATGAATCCAGACCTGAATGCAAGTTTGCTATAACAGTGCCTAAAAACCCATTCGGCTACTAGTTAACATAATCCAATCATTTCTGCACTGATAATTCATGCACAGTTATGTTTATTAAGCAAGTAAATAGGTTGAATGGCTCAAGGTGTAAGTTTTTGTTTGCTTCAGTTTGTGCTCGAGTCATTAAACTGAGTTTGAGTGGATCACAATCTGACACTTATTGGATAGTGACAATAAAACACTCAGGAGAACCAGGGCTTTCAGCGCTTTGAGTGTTCTGTCAATGTTTTGCCTTATCACAAAACCAATGAGCCTTGAGACACCATGCACTGAGCAGACTATGTGTTGTGTGCAGAGCTCAGACAGCAGGTCTCCCATGGGTTCACATTACGCCTTCCTGAAACATTAACCGCTCTTGTCATTTCTCGCCATGCTTTGGGAATGACAGTATTGTTATTTAGGGCTTTCTTAATTATTATCCGGTGCATCTAGAGGGCGTGCAGTGCAGTCAGACATCCTCCACAACATGTGCCAGTTTGTTTTCACGTCTGATCACTCGTTCAGTTCCCAAAGAGAGGTAACTGTAAGAGCGAAGACTCAAAGAAGTCTTGAAAGTGCAGATGGCATTTAGGTGGGTGAATCTTATGAAAGCTTTAAAGAACATACTCGGGTCACATTTCACCCTCAAATCAACAGAAGTATAGATAATTTTATTTGTGCATGAAGAAAATTAAGCCTAGTTTGTAGGATAATTAAGAATTTTGGAAATTTGACTTTGTTTTCATGACAATTTTCTGCCCAAGTATCATGACCGTAATGCAAAATGAATGAATGAATAAATAAATAAATATTCATTGTAATGAGAAAAAAGTACAATAATATAGTGTTAAAAGTATAAAGCATGCATATATCAGGGTAATATTTGACCTTACATTTATGATCATTTAACCCTCTTGTTCTGTTGAGTTTGCCTTTATTGTCTTTATGTATGGAGTCACAATAAACATTACTTATCAAAATAACAACTGTAATCTGTAACTTGACCTGTTATTGTACATTTTAATTCCTTAAATATGTACCTTTGATATATATAAATTTTGGGTCAGTTTAACCCCAGGTAAAACACATTATTATAATTATATAATAATAATAATAATAATAATAATAATAATAAGTATTATTATTATTATTGTTATAAACTATAATAGTATTATACGTAATAAATAAACAGACAACCAACAACTAATAATAATAATAATAATAATAATAATAATTACTATTATTATTATTAGTAGTAGTAGTAGTAGTAGTAGTAGTATTTTGGGGTTTGTTTGTTTGTTTGTTTAATAATAATAATAATAATAATAATAATTACTATTATTATTATTAGTAGTAGTAGTAGTAGTAGTAGTAGTATTTTGGGGTTTGTTTGTTTGTTTGTTTAATAATAATAATAATAATAATAATAATAATAATTACTATTATTGGTAGTAGTAGTATTTTGGGGTTTGTTTGAGTTTGTTTGTTTAATAATAATAATAATAAGTATTATTATTATTTATAATAAACAAACAAACAATAAATTGAACCACATGTTATTGCATTACAATAATGAGAATATTCTAAAATCACTACTGACAATAATGAGAAACATCCAAATACATTAGGGTAATGCAAATTCATGTATAAATGTGCGTATAAAAGTTTTAGTTAAATTCGCTAAGGTTCAGTCTGCAGGAATCATTATGCTGGATAATTTATTTTAGAAATGTCTTGTATTTGTCATAAGCTTTCAGATGTTTGAGATGGTAGCCATTTTTGAGTAATCCTCTTTCTATCAATTAAGCAGGTTTTTTGGCTTGCATCTCCTCTCTCTCTCTCTTTCTGTCGACATTGCAGTAGGGTAAGATCTCATGTCAACACTGAATGATCTGAGATTTCACTTCTCAGACGATGAACCATAATTCAACATACAGTACAGCATTCTCCTTTTCTATATAAAATCACTTTAATGGTGATGTGTATAGGATAAATTCCTTATCCTGTTCCAGTTTAATGTGCAGAAACAATTATAAGTAAGACGTTTGTAGGTTGACTTCCTGAAGAGTATGTATTTACCTAACAACCACAAGGAGCACCATAGCAACCATCCTAGCATCACTGCACAGGCAAAAACCACTCACATTTTCCTCAAAAAAATGTAATGAATTTACTTACTTTTGCAAATCAGGTACATAAAAGGTTTCTAGCCTAAGGGTTTGTTGGAAGATTACGTGCTTAATGAGCCCTTGTTATTGAATATATTGTAATATATTGATTCATATCAGCAGTCACACACCAACATTTCTTTGTCTCTCATTTCAGCTACATTCTAATTCAGACAAAGGCGATGGTTCGGTCAGGTACATCCTTAGCGGTGAAGGAGCAGGAAGTATCTTCATCATCAACGAGGTAACGGGAGACATCCACGCCACCAAAAGTCTGGACCGGGAAAAGAAATCACATTATGTTCTTCACGCACAGGCCATCAACCTCAACACCAACAAACCCCTGGAGCCAGAGTCAGAGTTCATTATAAAAGTTCAGGATATTAACGACAATGCCCCCAAATTCCCAGACGGACCCTTCGTCACAACTGTGCCTGAGATGGCGGAAGTTGGTGAGATTCCCTTGTTTTCTTATTATCTTTTTTGTCCAGCACACAAATTAAACATTTTGCTTTTTTTTTTTTGTAAAATGCTATTTTCAAATGTATTATGTAAGTCTGTGGTCTTTTTATAAAAATTATTTGTCTCTTTTGATGAAATTGATAATATATTACTCTTAATGTGTATTTATGCAATTCCTTTCATTTTTAAAGTTAAAAGGTCTAAAAATATTTAAAACAGGATAAAAGTCCTATGACGTCTTTTAATAGAAAGCATCTTAAATTGCAAGTGCATTTTGTCTTACTGCTCTGACAAATTTATTTTTATTTTTTCTTAAGTATTACCAAGTTAAAGTCAAGTTGAAAAAAATCCACCAGTTCAGTAAGACAAAATACACTTATATTCTAGACATACTCCATGAGAACAAGTCAGAGTATCTTAGTGTTCCTTCTAAAGTGAATCCATTTTTAGATATTTTTACTGGAAACTTTACTGGATTTTACTTGGAATAAACGTCATGAAAAACTCATTAATGCATTTTTCCCCCAATCTATTTTAAGTATAAACAAGTTAAAATCAAGTGGAAACAAAATCCAACAGTGCAGTAAGACAAAATACAACTATATTCAAGAAACTCTTCATGAAAACAAGTCAGGGTATCTTAGTCTTTCTTCTAAAGTAAGTTCATCAAAATGATTTTTTGGATATTTTTACTGGAAATTAGGTATAAATAAATACAAAATTAAAATAAAATAAATAACATTTAAAGGGGTCATATGATGCGATTTCAATTTTTCCTTTCTCTTTGGAGTGTTACAAGCTCTTGGTGCATAAAAAAGATCTGTAAAGTTGCAAAGACTAAAGTCTCAAATCCAAAGAGATATTCTTTATAAAAGTTAAGAGTCAACCACGCCTACCTAAACCGGCTCGTTCTAACACGCCCCCACATGTCTACGTCACGATGTGGGAAGATTTGCATAACGCCGCCCAAATGTTCACGCAAAGAAAGAAGGCGTAACTTTTATTCTCTCTGTAGTATTGTTGCTGCCGCCGCCATGTCGTGAAGGCGCTGTGTTTCGTTGTGAAAGCGAAACTACTTTGTTTGGCCTTCCAAAAGTGGACACGACTAGAAATCAGTGGTTAAGTTGTATTTACAACACTGTTCCAGAGCAGTTCAACCCAAATATTCAGATGTGTGCAGCACATTTTATGGAGGACTGTTTCCTGATCCTGGTAGAGTAGACTACAATGCCGGCTGTTCTGACTCAAAGACTGCAAGTACGTTTTCATGTTTAAAGGATTTGCCACTGACGATTCAAACGCGAGTTTTGAGCAGTGTAGAGTAGCGTTTGTTGTTTGTCATTTCTCCGATCACAAATGATGACATGGTTTTATGTTTATGCGGCACGATGCAACGCAACGCAACGCATAAAAGACAGTATAAGTCATTATAATCAAACAATAATGTACAGTATGTGGAAAATAATGTGTTTTTTGAACCTTAAACCGCATAAACAAATTTCATTACACCAAATACACAAAATAATGTTCTTTTTAGCAACATCATATGACTCCTTTAAATCTCATTAATGCATTTTCTGTGTGGTTTTGCAGTGTTGCTCTTATGTAGAGTTAGTGATTTGAACTCTTTAACTATATGTAATGTATGTCAGCATGAAAACCAAACTGACCCTATTTACTTTAATATTGCATGTTCATGGACTAAAATGACTGATGTTAATGGACTAAGACTAAAATGTTGCATTAGACCAAATTATGGAAGTAAAATTGTTTGTGAGAATCATTTCATTTTGACTTTCGCCTGTAACTCGTCCAGCACCATTTGTACTACAGATCTAAATGAAAGCTGCCGCAAAATACCACAGGGTCTCCCCCTCAGAACACCTTAGCAGCCACATAGCGACCATGTAGCTCTGAGTCCAAAACCCATGAGATTGTTTCGCTCTTTTCTCTGAGCAGAAGTGAATTGTTTACTGCTCAACTTAAATGTCTCAGGTTCAGGTGATTCGGTCCATTTCCGTCTGTGTGCAAAGGTGAAGATTGAAATGGCTTTTAAAAACATATCTGTCAAAAAAAACATATTCTAACCAGAGGCTTGTACTGATGCAAACTCATAAGCTGCCACTCTCTAAGATCCATCACTTCTAATTCAGATCTCCTATATTCACTCCAACTGGCTTTTTTCTATCCAGCCCATGGCTTTTATGCTGTTGTTTTGTGTTTTGCGGCTAGAGTTCCCTCAGGAGCCCGAAAGCTCTTAGAGAGCACTATGTGCTCATGCTTTCTCCAGAACGCACCACTTCCACTAGGAGAAACAGTGAAAATATATACAGAGAGAAAGAGAGAGAGAAAGATTCCCTTACAGCAGGGTTTGTAAACCCCTAGGGGTTTGTGATGGAACTGCAGGGTGTTTATGAGATTGTGATCGAAATACTAATGTGGAATGAGTTCATACATTAACTTATAGCTCAATTAAATTTGTTAAACGCTGCAAAATTCTACACATTTAACTTTTAACTTAATTTTGCATTTAACGCTTGATTGCATCGTGTTGCCTGTGTAAAAATCCAGTTTTCTTCACTTGTCCTACAAAATAATTATTTACCTATGAAATATATGATTTATGTTTTATTAAACTCAAATTTTGGAACGCGTATGATTTTTAAAATATATTTTTTATAAAAAATAAAACTGCAAAAATATATAATTATATTTAATTATATTTATATAGTTTAAATATATTAATATTAAAGGTGCAATAGGTGATTGTCTTCAGAAACATTTTTTGTTATGCTGGTTGAAAGTCTCTTCACATCCCGATAGCAATCACTAAGACTAAGTTAAGTGGTCGAAATATTTATATGTATTTATATCACCTGTGGAAGGCTTAGGACCATAGAATGTTCGTCCAATCAAAATGTTCAGTCCGAAGATGAAGGTAGGCTGTCTTGCCTGCCTGTCAAAGTATGTATTTGCATACATACGTCATCAGCGCATTCCAGCCAGATTGGAAGCAAAGACTATAGAATACTCCTAGCCTTAAATAATAGAGTAGAATAGCCTTAATCCCAGATAAAACAGGTGTCTTCTCACAATCTTTTTTCTTTTTTTACCCCCAGCTGATCCAGCTGATTACTGGCAATTTGGAGGAGGACTGCTCTTTATCTGCTGTGTCTGTCATGGACTGGTTGAAAGTCTCTTCACATCCCGATAGCAATCATTAAGTTAAGTGGTCTAAATTTATTTATCTGTATTTATATATTCTGTGGAAGGCATAGGACCAAGAAATGTTCGTCCAATCAAAACGCTCGGTCTGAGCATTTTAATTGGCTTTCCTACCTGCCTGTCAACGTATGTATTAGCATACCTCTATGCACCCGGTTCGCGCAGACAGGATACGTCATCAGCGTGTCGCGCACGCTGTGCAGACAGAGCGAGAATGGCAGACAAACATCATCAACCCGATCTTCCTCTGAGCAGGGGAAATCCGTGAAGGGAAAAATGAAGTTTACTTCACTTCGGAACATGGGCTGGAATTGGGAGCCGCTGATGTAGCCTATTGTAATGTTGTCTCTGGTATTCTGGTCTGTGAGGGTAAATGCATTAAGGGGGCGTGGCTTTGGACGGCAATTGCAGGGAAGGTGGGACGTTCGCTTTCAGTGCTATCAGGCTAAAGTTAGCATTTTCCAAGATCTCCCATTGCACCTTTAATTATATTTATATATTTAATTTAAATGTATTTTTTATTTATTATATTTTTTTCTGTTTATCTATTTTTATACCTTATGCATATATATATATATATATATATATATATATGTATATG